GATACACTACACTATAGTGTATCACTATCACTATCTTCTCAATAGAAGAGAGATACACTCACTATAGTGCATCACTATCACTATCTTCTCAATAGAAGAGAGATACACTACACTATAGTGTATCACTATCACTATCTTCTCAATAGAAGAGAGATACACTACACTATAGTGTATCACTATCACTATCTTCTCAATAGAAGAGAGATACACTACACTATAGTGTATCACTATCACTATCTTCTCAATAGAAGAGAGATACACTACACTATAGTGTATCACTATCTTCTCAATAGAAGAGAGATACACTACACTATACACTCACCTAGTTGTGCTTGCGGCGGTTTTGTTCTGGTTCTTTGGCCCCGATGGTGCATTACAGGACGAGTAAAAGCAGTTGGATAGTTAAAAGGGAGGACTGAAGAGGCAGGTGAAAATGCCGATGGCGAGTTGAAGGGTTGTAGAGGATTACAGAAGGGAGGATGGAGGGGGGTGAAAGAGTGTAGAGGAAGGACTATAAGCATGTGAAGAGATAGTTGAAGAGATGGCTGAAAGTGTAGAGGAAGGACTATAAGCATGTGAAGAGATAGTTGAAGAGATGGCTGAAAGAGTATAGAGGGAAAGCTGACAAAAGAGACTACAGCCTCCTTTTGCGCAAGGCCAAACAGCAGTAAAATCATTGACAATGACTATAAAATGCCAGCAAGCGCAGGCAATTTAACATATCGACACACTCGAGGCATCACAGGCGACTTCCTTGTTCTGCCAGTTGGCCCACTGATCTCATTCTTCACCATCTGCTCCAAACCTTTACCACCTGGCTTGGTGACCACCACCACCACCAGTCACCACCATCTACACCACCTGATTTATAGATTCTCTTCAATCTGGCCACGTCTGGGACCCCCATCGCCTGCTCTGCAGCCCTTCTGACCAACGTCAATGAGTACATCTCATTGTACTCATTGAGATGTACATTTTTTTTAAGCTACATCAGGTGGAGGTACTTGATAGGGTGCCCCACCACCCAGGGTAAATAAGTCTTTGGTCTTCCGAAGACTGTCTTCAGACCAGTCTTCGGTGACTGGTCCTCTTCGCTGCCAGTTATCATAATTATCAAAAGTAAGGATTTCCACAGTAGGGGAAGGTGGTGGCAGTAATAATTTCTGTTTTAAAGAGTTATAACTGCTACCGATATCGGTCTTGATGGTGGTACAGGGGAAATTCAGTTGTTATAACTCCACTTGCGACGCTTTCCCCCACTCTAACTTGACTCCATGTATACTAACTCTTCGTTTCCTTTGGAATAACCAGGCCTTTATCCTACTTAAGACAGCTTCCCCCCCAATACCGCGAGACTGTCTGTCTGTCTAATCAATCTTTCGTGTGACAGTGTCAAAAGCTTTGCTAAATTCAAGGTACACAACGTTACAATCCTCTCCTCTATCAGCCTTAAAAATATTGGAAATGAATAATGGCAAATTTGTCAGTCATAAGCGGCCTTTTGTTGAAGCCATGTTGTTAATCATTCTTTAATTTGTTTCTCAATATACATATATAAACGAATGGCTTTTGCAATTGTGGATTCAAGCATTTTTCCAACAAAAGTCTTTAAGACCAATAATTTAATGCAAGTGATCTATTTTCCTTTTTACATTTGCAACTCTCCACAACTTCTGAACTTTGCTCGACTAATTATTTATTTGATATAAAGTCAAAGGATCACTTAGCTCATCTTTACATTCTTTTAGGGTTTTGGCAAAGATTTCACCAAGTTCTGGGAACTTGTTAATCATTAACTTTTCTGTTTAATAACTTCCTGGAAACGACTAAATGATTCAACTTGCCCTCCTCACACCTACATGGATTTGATCAGATGATGGCAAAATATCAAGTTCTTCTCCAGCAAATACAGAGAGATTGAATTTTCCTAGCTGACTGGTGGAGCACACTGTACTCACCTAATTGTGCTTGCTGGGGTTGAGCTCTGGCTCGGTACTGTGTACAACAAAGTTGGTACAAGGTACTGTGTACAACAAAGTCGGTACAAGGTACTGTGTACAACAAGGCCTGGATGTACCTTGATGGGGTTCTGGGCGTTCTTCTACTCCCCAAGCTCGGCCCGGGACCAGGCTTGACTTGTGAAAGCTTGATCCAGCAAGCTGTTGCTTGAAGCGGCCCGCAGACCCAAGTATCCACTACAGTCCGGTTGGTCCGGCACGTCTTGAAGAGGAAAGTGGATAGATTTCTTCAAGGAAACGTCCATTTTTGTTCCGGCAATTTTTCTTACAGTCGCTAGGAAGATACTGAACATCTTTCCTCAATCTTTGACGGCTTTGGTTACATTTATTAAACAGTTTACAAGCATGAAAACTTGCCAATCAACTGTTGCTATTGTTATAAACAGCCTCCTGGTGCTTCAGAGCTCATTAACTGTTTAATAATTGTAAACAAAGCCGCCAAAGATTGAGAAAAGATGGACAGGTTCGTAAGCGCTTGCGTAAGTGCTTTCGTGAATCTGGCCCCAAGGAGAAGAAGTGTTTCAGCGGACACTGCATGACTCCCTGGAAGTGTAAGTGCATATTGCCGGAGTACGATCATGGGATCTGCTTCGAGGGAAGCCTGCCCTCTCCCTCGTGTGAAGGACGACAGTCCGTCACTGTCGCACTTCACTTGTGAAGGCTCACCCGTCACCACGTGCAGTGACAACACCTCCCTACTACATCGGGCATGTGCTTGGGCATGTGGTTGGGCATGTGCCATGTGCGGACCGGCTGCCACACCACCTGAGGACCACCTGCCTGTGCTGGTATGTGTGTGTGTGTGTGTGTGTGTGTGTGTGTGTGTGTGTGTGTGTGTGTGTGTGTGTGTGTGTGTGTGTGTGTGTGTGTGTGTGCGTGCGTGTGTGTGTGTGTGTGCGTGCGTGTGTGTGTGTGTGTGAACAAGGCATTTCTTATTATTGTCTTTCTGTGCGTAGTTCTGTGCGATCTGCCAGTCATTATCGGCTATATCCATCTCCTGCGACAGGTGAAGGCTCACAGGGACCAGACAGATGCACACACACACACACACACACACACACACACACACACACACACACACACACACACACACACACACACACACACACACACACACACACAGCTCAGTTGAGAGGCGGGACCAAAGAGCCAGAGCTCAACCCCCGTAAACACAACCAGGTGAGTACAACTAGGTGAGTACACACACACACACACACACACACACACACACACACACACACACACACACACACACACACACATACACACATACACACATACACACACATACACACACACACACGGAATAGTAACAGAACGAGAGGACATGGATGGAAGCTTGAAACTCAGATGAGTCACAGAGATGTAAGGAAGTTTTCTTTTAGCGTGAGAGTAGTGGGGAAATGGAATGCACTTCAGGAACAGGTTGTGGAAGCAAATACTATTCATAATTTTAAAACCAGGTATGATAGGGAAATGGGACAGGAGTCATTGCTGTAAACAACCGATGCTCGAAAGGCGGGATCCAAGAGTCAATGCTCGATCCTGCAAGCACATATAGGTGAGTACATATAGGTGAGTACACACACACACACACATACACACACACACACACACACACACACACAGTAGTGGAAAAATGGAATGTATTTAAGGAACAGGTTGTGGCAGCAATTACTATTCATAATTTTAAAACCAGGTATGATAGGGAAATAAGACCGGAGTCATTGCTGTAAACATCCTATGCTCGAAAGGCGGGATCCAAGAGTCAATGCTCGATCCTGCAGACACAAATACGTGAGTACAAATAGGTGAATACACACACACACATATTTAGCTAACACCTGCTATGTTTTGTTCACTGACCCATTGCCAATATTTGCATATTATTATTATTATCTGTCTCAGTGACAGTATTTTGACTCACATGTTATTATCCGACCATCCTAGTTAGCTCATGTGCCCCAGTTTTTAATACCGGCAGTGATTAATAAGCCTAATTAGTCGAGTGGTTGTTTAGACAAGTGTTAAGTGAGGTTTTGTTCTCAAGAGAAATGTTACCGATCAGTTGGACGTTCAATGTCTGAGGCGATTTAGCTTTGACCAACGCGAATTTCGAGTAATTAAGCCCCATGTGTACTAGCAAATAAGTTTTTGAATAATGTTAATTATTACTTTTGTGTTTCTTTGAAACCACTTCAGATATTTCTACTCATCTCTTGTGTCTCCAAGACGTATACGAGCCTATTAAGTCACAATCTATAAATTGTGATGAGAATCTTGTCCTTTTTGCATTAATGGATTCTCGCGACCAAAGTTAAGCTTGAGCAGGTATAGCCTCCTACCTGAGCCAGACCATCCACAGAGAGGTCCAGCTTGGCAAGGTCCACCCAGGTCTTGGACCCGGTGTTGAGGTAGTTGCATCTTGACAGCAATTAGCGAGTCGTCTGCCATATGCAACGTTGCACCCAAGTGCAGTCTGGCAAATATAATCTCCCACGAAGTACCTATTTAGAATGTCACTCATTTCTTGATCACATTAAATTGGCCAAACTCATTTTTTCAAAGGACCCGTTTTCTTCAAGGTCTTTGTTTGGTGTACTTGGAAGAACCCTTTGGGGGTTTGTTTTTACCTGGAGTATACCTGGAGAGGGTTTCGACAGTTCTACTACTCTCCGAGCCCGGCCTGAGGCCAGGAATATGCACTTAATAAACTTCATAAATTTCCTTTTGATTTTCTAATATATTTTTAACCGTTCTTGGTGGTATGATAAACTGTTGTTCTGGATACCTATCCAAAAAGATCTCCGTTTTAGGCCTAAATCCGCGCTCCATTATCGACGCGGTCACAGAATTTTACCTTAATATAGAAACTTAAAACAATGTGCAGGAGTTCAATTACTTTGTGCCATTGACTTTGTTACATTGTACCATACCATTACTTTGTACATTGAACAAGATATTTATCAAGGTAGAACTTACCTTTTTTCCCCATAGTTCGACATCCTCCTTACCTGCATGGAACAAAATAATTAGGTCAATATATCATAAGCACCAAAAATTCGTGTTAACTGAATTGGATATATATTTTGTTAATGTGAAATATGTACCTGAAAAATGTAAGTTTTACTGGAATAGAATAAGTTTTACTTACAAGAATAAAATATATATCCTAAGCTTTGTATTTGCATTTCTTTAGATCGTCTAATTTCATATACTCAAATTCATAAAAATGTTTCATAGGTGTCCATTTTACTTGAATAGGCCTCAATCAGTATCCAACCCACTTAGGCCTATTGATCATCATGATCATCATATATCATGATCATCATATATTGATCACGATCATATTTGATCATCTTTTATCCTGTGTCATTTCTTATTAGCAATGATTGATCAGGACACAATACCTAGATTGTGTTCAGAGCTCAATGAGTGTTCTGACGTCAGTGGATTGTCGGTGTGAATTAAGGAACCACTGATGTTATCTTGAGGTTATCTTGAGATGATTTCGGGGCTTTAGTGTCCCCGCGGCCCGGTCCTCGACCAGGCCTCCACCCCCAGGAAGCAGCCCGTGACAGCTGACTAACACCCAGGTACCTATTTTACCGCTAGGTAACAGGGGGATAGGGTGACAGAAACTCTGCCCATTGTTTCTCACCGGCGCCCGGGATCGAACCCGGGACCACAGGATCACGTATCCAGTGTGCTGTCCGCTCGGCCGACCGGCTCCCCTGATATAGGTCGTCCTTAACAGCTGGTGCTGAGGACTGCGTGGGGGGGGGGGGACCAATAGCCCCCCAACCACAACAGCTGCAATGTTTACACGGAACAGCTGTTCGTGTGACGTCATTACAAATGCTCTTGCAGAATCACTATCGATGATTAAATGTTATCATCTCTAATTATTTTAATCATTACTACTAATTTTAATAAAAATTTTACTAATACTAATATAAAATACTAATTTTATACTAATTTTATAATACTGCAATACTAATTTTAATAAAAATAATAATACAAAATTATATATATATATTGCCAATTTATAAAGCAAATTTATTCAGCATTGATTATATATGATTTACAACATTCTTCCAAAATCTAGTAAACTATCATTCCAAATCGTACTACTATTAATTTATATATTAAACCTTAAAAGTTTCTACATCACCAAATGTTTTGGGCAACACAAAACCCATATATAATATTAGTAATATATTTCACTACTCTTATCCTTCTGAAACAAGAACTCTCTTTATTAATTGATGTGTCAAATTTGGTTTAAGAAACTATCAACACCAAAATGACCACCACCACTATCACTACCACCACCACCACTATCACTACCACCACTATCACTACCACCACTACCACTATCACTACCACCACTACCACTATCACCACTACCACTATCACTATCACCACTACCACTATCACTACCACCACTACCACTATCACCACTACCACTATCACTATCACCACTATCACTATCACCACTACCACTATCACTACCACCACTACCACTATCACTACCACCACTACCACTATCACTATCACCACTATCACTATCACTATCACTATCACCACTACCATCCAGGTTTATATATACACGAGTTTGTTGACCAGACCACACACTAGAAGTTGAAGGGACGACGACGTTTCTTCAGCCACGTTATTGTGACTCATCTCCTACACGAGTTTATTATCCAGTAGACTAATACCATAAATACCTCGTCTGTACTCTGGTCTTAGGGGTACAGAGTAACCCTAAGACTACTCTGGTCTTAGGGGTACAGAGTAACCCTAAGACTAACTACTCTGGGCTTTTCCTGACTAACGGCAATTAGTGGCAATTTCCCTGACTAATGTGGACATATCAAGGAAAAAAAAGAGGAGGAAAATGCGATGTTAAAGCTTTGTTTACAAGACACTGTGAGGAAAATGTAAACGCCTGAAATCTTCAGTATCTTCACATTTTCTATGACGCTCAAAACCTTTTTATATCCAAACCAAGTAAAAAATTAAAATGTAAGAACCGCAAAATACAACACGGAATATAATTAATATGTTCATATTTCTCAGCAGATGCTAATTTCAATTTAATCACTTCGAATAGGAATAACATTTAAGCCACTCGGTCTACCCTATGCTTTGCGGACATAGCTAATCAATATGATTGGATGTATTGTCTAGTGGCACAGACACAGCACCGCTCCTGTGCCAGGTAAGTTCACTACGGGCTCACCATAGCCCGTGCTACTTGCCCCGCTCCTGTGCCAGGTAAGTCCACTATGGGCTCACCATAGCCCGTGCTACTTGCCCCGCTCCTGTGCCAGGTAAGTCCACTATGGGCTCACCATAGCCCGTGCTACTTGCCCCGCTCCTGTGCCAGGTAAGTCCACTATGGGCTCACCATAGCCCGTGCTACTTGCCCCGCTCCTGTGCCAGGTAAGTCCACTATGGGCTCACCATAGCCCGAGCTACTTGCCCCGCTCCTGTGCCAGGTAAGTCCACTACGGGCTCACCATAGCCCGTGCTACTTGGAACTTATTCCGAGTTGCTGAATCTATAACAACAACAAACGTCTAGTGGAAGATAGATAGTGGAAGTGGTTCTTCCTAAAGGTCATAGTCTAGTGGAAAGATAGATAGTCTCATCTCAAGATAGTTTTTTTTTTCTACCACAGACGTGGCAAGATAGTGGAAGTCTTGTCTACTGGGGAATGACTGGCCTCATAACATTCCATAACAACATAACCACAATTCAAGTACAGTGGGTTTGTACTTTCTAAACAAAAGCAAACCAAAAAAGTACGAGCTTTTTACAGATGCTTGAATACTTGAAAAAAATCCTATGTCAACGAGCATTATCAAAAGGAAGCACCAAGCCAGGAACACTACGTAGCGCCATCTGTTGGCGCTAAATATCACTCGGGATGCCAATGCAAGAACAAAGGACATAAGACAAGCGACATCAAATGTATCGGGTTCACCAAGTATATAATCGAGGACCAAGTGACCCGGAGAGAAAAAACAGGAACGCAAGATACACGATCATCCTGAAAATCGCGACATTCTACAAAGAGGTGCACGACTTGTAAGTGGGACAATTCAGTTCAGAAAATCAAAGAGCAGTTCGTTGTTCCATTAAATGAGTATGTGGCCGATACTCAGCCTAGCCAGAGCCATTTCCTACCTTCTATTACATGCGGTATAGGAGGAAAGTCAAGGACACAAACCACATTTAAGAGCATGTAGTTTGTGATCTGTAACGCCAGACCAACAAACACCCTTGCTCATCGTTGCAGATTGCAGAATGAATGACGGGGTAAACCTCTGAATAAGGAATCCCTTATAGACAGTCGAATTTTGCTGGTTCCCAGTCTAAAATATATATATAAATGTTACCATGATTGAACTTGCGGACACCGCCACTAAGGAAACCATTTATACTTGTCCCAGAGACCTATAAAACGGTCAAGCATGAATGATCTACAAGGTAATGCTATATATATTAGGCTGGGAACCAGGAAAATTCGACTGTCTTTAATCTGCTCGAGATGACAAACAGCCAGAATTGGATTTCGACAACCACAGGATGCAAAGGGTTAAATTACTCAACCATGAGAGCACTGCGCAGCCAACTGTAGTGACAAAGGAAAACTGATGCCTAAAAAAAAGCAGCAGATGATAAACATATAAAATTGCGAAAAGTTCCGCCGTGAAGATAAGAGCCTCTGGGGCTCTTATCCCCCAGAGGCTGAGATAAGCGCATATAGGATTGATCAAGTCAAACAACGGAGTAGCCAACATAGTCGACACACTTGGACCCATCTGTTAACACAACAATGGAGTGTATGTAAAAGGGAAAATGTTCAAGGAAAAGGCATTTCATGACAGTAGGAAAGATGGGGCTATAAGCCTTCTGGGCCTTACAAAACTTCCCAAGTTTTCTGGCTTGGGATTATCATCCTACAAAGAGGTGCATGACTTGTAAGTGGGACAATTCAGTTCAGAAAACCATCTACGAAGGATCCCACCAGGCAAGGAAAGAAGAACAATATGGAGATATTGCAAACGTGAGCCAACAGGGAATCTTGCAACCTAGCCATCCTTGCAGGAAGTGGTTGACCAGACCACACACTAGAAGTTGAAGGGACGACGACGTTTCGGTCCGTCCTGGACCATTCTCAAGTCGATTGTGAAGAGGAGGTAGAGACAGGCAAGAGAGAGCTGAGGAGGAAAGTAAGGTGTAGGGGATAGTAGTAATAATGAGAACTGCAGAGGGCCTATTGGCCCATACGAGACAGCTTTTCCTTGCAGGAAAAGGAATGCGGTGAGAAGGTACAGTGCCCTCCTGAGGGTGAGTAGTGAATGAACAACACAAGTGGGAGTGGGAATGTTGCAAGGACTGTGCGACGTAGCAAAGGCAGTAATGATCCTGGCAATCCTGCAGACTCGGGATGCTGGTCCAGACATACAGCTCTGGCTGGGAAACAAGTTTATTATTATTATTATCTTTATTGACAAAATTAATTACAATTTTCCCTAATCTGTGGATTTCAATTAAGTCTTATTAAAGTGAGGATAATGTTGGTATTCACTGTCACACAGAACCGAGGGTCATACACAAGACAATAAGTCTAAATTATAGGCTGAAGCACTTGTATATCATGATTACAATTGAAAGGCACCAGAGCTGAGGACTAATCCTCAGCTCCCAGAGGATTAGTCCAGAGGTGAGAGGACATGGGAATTAATCTAGAAAAACAAGTGTCAAAGATCAACCACGAAGAGTGCGGCATTATCCTTGTATAGATAAGAACTGCCAAAAAGAGTAGCAACAGGTAATGAGGAACGACATGCCTTCGAGTATAAGTCACAGCACAAGTCTTATTTAAGGAGAATTTGAAGCCAAGATTGGTGGCAAGGAATGACACGCAATTGCTCGCAAGTTGGAGCTGGTACTGGAGGAAAGAGAAGTCATCGCTGCCGCAGCGGAATGATGAAGCAAGTTGGAGCTGGTACTGGAGGAAAGAGAAGTCATCGCTGCCGCAGCGGAATGATGAAACAGTGGTAATGTCCGGAACAAATTTACCCACACTCATATGCACTTTCTTCCATATATGAGGCAGAAGCCAGTCAACATTAATGGTGGAGCTGTCTGGAGGGTCCTATGGGCCCGCGCACTCACTTTCCAAAACAATAATAGTTTCGTTTATTAGCCTACATAGTGCTTTTTCCAGGCAGCATGCTTACAACATATACCATGAGCACGTCCGACTCCCACCAAGGAACTCGCTACCACACGCCATGGGAGGCAAAGCAAGGAAGGGGGGAGGACACCGTGGAGGTCAGCATCAAATATAGTGTGAAAAATAAGGAGGTAGCAAGGAAGAGGCAGACTAGCATGAAGGGTGAAAAGCTTCTAGACCATCTTATCAAACAGCTGCCCAGGAAAGGAGAGAGGATGATTGTGCCAAATGATTTCATTGAACTTTTTTGGAGCTCCTAACTCTGTCTCGCCAAATGCAGAAGAGGGCAGCCAGACGGTCAGCTGCCTCCTTACAAAGGCCCTCAATTAGGATACGGGCTCACCATAGCCCGTGCTACTTGGAACTATTTATTCCAAGTAGCGAAACTTAAAGTAGCGAAACTTAAAGTAGCGAAATTTAAACAACAACAGCCCTCAATGAAGCAAATGCCAGTCTGAGTGGGATTAAAGAGTAACATGTGTATCCACAGAATCAACAAGTTGCTTAAGTGTAAATCATCATGGTAGGTAAGGTCATCAAGATAATCAAAATATCTTGAGTCATGTGGTCAAACAGATCCTGACACATAACAATATTTGAGGTTAAGGCCTGTGGGCACATGTTCAACTGTGAGTAGCTGCTGAGGTCCTCAAGTATGCTGGAGGGCAAAAGGCACACTTGTACAATCAAAGATGGAGTCAAGTCCAGTGACGAGGTAGTCACCTCTGGGTACTAGTCAGTCGACCCTGCGAAGGAAGTGGCAAGAGAATGGAGAGGATCGGCAGGGTGAACCACAGACGAAGCCAGGTCTGGACCCAACGTCGCCCGATCTTTAGATTCAGATTCTGATTTAGATTCAGATTCTGATTTAGATTCAGATTCTTTATTCAGGTACATCCATTGAGTTACATAATGATGGATTTAAAGTTAGAGATAGTACAAACAATACCTAAAGCCACTAGTACGCATAGCGTTTCGGGCGATCTTGTATCAAAGCCTGACTCAGCGGCCTGGTCACCTGCCTCACAAGCCCTATACCACCACAAAGGCTACCACCAAACAACGCAGCAGAGTCCGAGCAATGGCCGGTGCAGAAAAAGAGTACGTCGTCCAACGCGGTGCTCCCTTCTTTTTAATAGTCCTACTGCAACAAGCATTCTCCAACATCACTTCAAATATCTCTTTCTCCCTCGAACCCTAGTCTGACCTCCAAACGTACCTCCGAGAGTGGCCCCTTACAGGTGACCCTTCCGGCAGGTGGACTAATGACCTGAACAGGTACTCTACATG